TTGGGAAGGTGGATGGAGTTGAGAGACTAATTACCTTTTTCTTTGATTGTCATGTTGCCAGATTTGTATAAAAGAGATTTGACTATGAATTTGGATTGCAACCCCCTAGAGATGAAGACAATTTATCTGGAATGTGGTTTCAACACATAGGCTAGCATATGCGTTCTATAGTTTGCATGAGAGTAAGTGCAATTTTATGGTCTATTTGGTTTTGTAAAAATGACGTGACTTTTGACAAAAAAAATATACTCTTACTTGCAGGTTACTTTCATGGCAAATTATTGGACTTATTTCTAAAAATTCTACAAAAGGAGAGCAACAGATCACTTGTGAAGTGGGTTTGTCGCATATTGGAGACTTAGCTATGGAGATTTTTAGCAAGCATGGATGGTCGTCTTTTAAAAGGATGAGTGCTTAGTTAGACTCTCTCTTGCTTGATTTAGCTTTTGTGTGCTTATAGAAACAACCGGTGGTTGAAGCTATAATACGCCTTGTTCGCTTGGATTTGTTTGGCTGATAAGCCATGGCTAAAAGTACTGTTGACTGATTTGGTGTGAGAGAAATATTGTTCTTTGGCTGAAAAAGTACGGCTTATAAGCCAAACAAGCCCAGACGAACATGGTGATAATAAGGCTTGGTCGTGTGCAAACCACTTACAGAGATTGGAATAAAAAATCCTTTTTCTAAGAAAACCTTTTCTTGGGTGCAATGGCTGTGACCTTAAGGTGTGCCTTCTGATTGTGGAGGGCAAGAGGCTAGCAGTAGGTTGGTACAGGCGAAATGAAGAGCAACAACCTAAGATCATTGCAGGTATTGTAGCCATTTCTTCTTGCTTCTCTTCTCTTTTTTTTCGAAGAGAAAGTTAACTTATATTAAATTTTGCCATATTATATTCCCAAATTACACATGAAATCTAAAATAAAAAGTATAAATATTCTATCCAGATTTTTCCATCATCTTTTTCCCCGATGGTTTCCCTCAAACACTAGAGCCAAAGTGTAGTCCTTATACCAAATCCAACGACTATCCCAAAACATTGGACATGCCGCAGTATCCAACGCTTCATAATCAGTCCAAAATGCATCTAAATCGCTAAAAGAATATCGGCAGTTACATCATCGGGTACGATATATGATGCAGATTCGTCACCTCGAGACCTTGATTTTCTCTCCGCGGCCATCGACGATGAGATCGATGATCCAGAGTCGCTATTCTCATAGGGGGCTCCCAGAAGCACTCCTTCCCTTGTAGATAAAGGCCATAAATTGGCCACTTGCCGATGAAATTGACGTCTGCAACGGTGATCTCGTCGTGGCAATCATCGAAGTCATCGCAGGGCACACGATCCGGACCGAAAATCATCTGATTTTAGCAGAAATTTATTTGGACTTAAGACACTAGAAAATTGCGAGAAAAGGATGGGTCTCCTCCCTTTCTTGTCTCCGGCAGACGCACCAGAGAGGAAGAAGGAGAGGCGCCCTAGGCGCGACGGCAGAGCGAGGAGCGGACAGGTGGTGGCGGCTCTACCCTAGGCGGCGGTGGCTCTTCCTAACGCGAGCGTTCAAACTATCTGACGGTTAATGTTTGCACGTCTGAAATGTTCTTGCTTCTCTTCTTGCGTGCCTCAACGATCTAATTTGGTGCAGCATTGGCCATGCATTATTTCCCCAATTTTGTCTCTTGCTTTTTTTTGGATTGGTGTAAAAGCATGTGCGTTTGGTTTGTATTGACCACGACAGTTGTTTGGTAGGCCAGTCTCGGTGCGAGTTTCATTCAAGTTTTATTCACATTTAATAAGTTGCCACATAAGCATTTTTGATGATTTAGCACCATATTTAAGAAGAGAGAATGAAACTCTTCTGGCACAATTACCAACTCGCAATGAGTCATGGAATTAAATGTTTATGAAACTATAGAATAAAACTATGTATTAAGAGTGGTCGTTTCATTCATGTTTCATTGGATTTTATTTGATGTGGCATTGTTAGAAATAATGCTATGAAACTCTCTACTGAGACTGGCCTTATATATCTCTACAAGCTGGGCCATGACTTTGCAATATGATTTTTGGCCAATAATTCATATTTTTTTTATTTCATATGCACTCAAATATAAAACCATCCCTAGATATACAATTCAGTTGTTACAAGTTAGATAGCTAGGACATCTTGAGCACTTCTCCTCTCTCAACCATTCAGGACAAGACATGCATGAGAACTATTTGGCCAGTCTTTTTTTCAAAATAGCTTTCGCTCCATAAAAAAACCACAGACGGAGTTGTTTTAGTCACAACTAGAGCTCTGTTAAACAAGCCCTGAATGTTGCAATAGATTATTCATATGTTGCAAAAAGTAAGTTTTGATATTGATTACCTTTTTTCTTCTAGTGCTGCAGCAACATATGAGTTTTAGTTTTTTCCTCTATTTTTCTGCCAAGTGAATCAGGTGTTGAGACTACCTTTTTCAAATGTTGCTATTGAATAGTGATTTGATCAAGATGTTTCACTTTCATGTTTCATGGTTGATTATGTAAGATTATAGTAGACAGTTTGTGCTGTTGCAATACATGATTTTCTTCTGAGGTTATCTAGATTGAGATGCTTTTTTACGATGCTACGGTACTTTGGTTATCCGGCGGGGGTAATAGCTCAAATAAATAAATTTGAACCTCTATTTTCAGATTTTATAAATAAAATAAAATTAGAAATAACATAGGGAAAACAAAAATCTCCCGAAGGCCCTAATCTTGAGACAAATAAAGAGCTTCTGTGTTGTGCAAAAAGGGAAAAGAATCTGAATCCCCTAATCTCAGGAGAAAAAGAAAATTAGGTTGTTTGGTATGGGCTAATATGTCACTCTTATATCGAAAACGTTCCTTATAGCACGTCCGTCCGTCTGGACGGACCACACACTCGCCCACGCCGCCCCGTCCATGTCGCCCGCTCGCTCTCTTCGTAGGACGAACCCCGTCTTCGCCCGCGCCACGCACGGCGAGCCCGACGCGCTAGGAGCTCGCTCCTAGACTCGCACCTCCCGTCGCGTCCGTGCTCCATCCGCCCGCCCCTACCCTTGCCGAGGTTCGTGCTGCCGACGAGCTCCACACCGACGACCTATGCGCCACTCTGCAACATCGAGCTCCGTGCCGGCGTCGAGCTCCGCGTCGATGAGCCTGTCCAAGCATCAAGCAGATGCTACGCCGAAAGTGCATGTTTCAATAGTATGTTTCAATTGTTTTGAAGGTATGTTGCAAGTGTTGTATGTCGATGTTTCAAAAGTAGATGGGGATGTTGCACATGTTGTAATGGCTATACATGTATATTTTAAGTGTATGTTCCAAATGTTTCATTGTTCCAAACGAATGTTGCAAGTGTTTTGTCTGGATGTTGCAAAAGTAGATCTAAATGTTGCATACATATGCATATTGCAAGCATATGTTTCAAGTGTTTCATACGTATGTTTGCAGTTGTTTCATCTGGATGTTGCATATGTTTGCAATGGGTTTCAAATGTTTTTCAGGCGTTTTCACAAGTGTTTCAGATGCTTATTTCAAGTGTTTCATTTGTATATGTCTTCTTTTGTATGTTGCAACTGTTGCATTTGAATGTTTCAAAAGTAAATCAGGTGTTACACATGGAATGCGTGTGGGAAGCGATCGGCAGCATGGATGACATCCAGCGGCAGCGTGGGCGACGTCCAGGATGATACGGGACCACTACTAGTGCGCTCCCTCGCGAATCCGATGTGCTAGGCGCTCGTTCACTGCCTATGCAGGCAGTGTCCGAACGCTAGCGCCGGATCGCTAGCAAGTCAATTTTATATCTCCATGCATAGTTCGAGTATAATCATTTCTTATTATTACAATAATTGATAATATTCATATACGGAGTATTTGTTTGAATTCGAACTAAAATATTGATAGTGGTATCCGTCCGAGTCCATCCTGCCGGGTACATCTTGTATTGGATTCGATCTTAGTAAGCAATTTTCTATAATATTCACAATATTATTATTTTTTCCAAATGCTTTGTTTCTATGATAAATATACAATGCGTGATATTTATGTCGTATCTAATATCTAGCGTCTTCGTGTCAATTCAAAGCTACAAGCTGTTTGGTTCTATCGATGGTAACGTGACCGGCAATGTAAACAAATCACGGGGGACTTGAGGGGGGATAGTTGGTCCCTTGATTTGTTTGGGTGCATGCAGTAAAGGTATTGGATACCGTTACTGTGTTTGGTTCCGTCGCCGGTAACGTGAACACTACACTGCACTGCACTGGTTTTACTCCAAATTTGAATACTGGGCTGATAGCTAATCTAACAGGCCATTCAATTGAGTAAATTAATTGATGTCAAGCTACACAAATATATTAATATATTCTGACAAGAACATGACAAGATTATCAAAGAACATTTACGTCGGCCAAATGAAATGGCCATTTCCATGATAGAAAAATGACGGCTTATGGAGGAGTTTAACCATATTAATTATGGAGGAGTTAAGCCATATTACAAACCAACAAGTATAGCACTAGAGCAAGGCCGAGATCAAATCATATATAAATAAAATCGAGAAAGGGTAAAATGAAAGACAACATCTTCTAGCTTGGAGTCTTCAATGCATATTCAAATGCAAACACACTATCAACATTCCTTTTCCACCTCCAACAGCAAGCACAGTCAGCAACCCTCTTCCACCATCAACTCTTGAATGGATATGCAAACATCTTATCTTCCTCCTTCTATCCGCTTCCTTGTCTCCTCCTCTAAAAAAATAATTTTAGAAAGACAGTAGGAGTGTTGAGGATGGTACAGAGTATATGTGCTTTAGAAAAACAGCACCACAGATTTTGTGCATAGCTCACAATAACAACATTACAGAGTATGCATGGTTTATAAAGAGTGTTGGCTAACAATCGTACCGTTAAGCATGTTTAGAATGAACTCCCTCCTCAAATACTTGTCAAGGGTTAGCAGCATACTCATTTTATCTGGCGATTTCACAAATACAGTAGCAGCTTGATTTGTTCTGTCCCAGTAAACCCTAGCTTGCGCAACTCTGCTACAGCCTTCTCCCTTAAAATCTGTTGTGGATTTTCATTCATCGCCTTCTCTTGAATTGCAGTCTCATGATCCATTGCTTCTGCCATTTTTCCAACATTACTAGCCACACCCTTCAAATCACCTTGGACTTTATGTAACATGTCCAGAAAAGGATCACTTGTTCCACTATCCTTGCTCTTCCCTCCTTGCCGCTTCCTCCTCTTGTAGCTAGATGATGCCGAGTCAACGGACCGTCTAGGGGTTTCTTTGGACATTCTATCCTCTTCTTCGCAATGCTGATTACCATGTTCAGCAGCAAGCTCTTCTTTCATGTTGCCAACAGCCTCATTGATATCTTTGGCGCCTTCACCAGTAGCTATATCATTTCTATATATTGCAGATAATGTATTATAGTAAGAGAATTTGGTGCCATACAGGCCCTTAGCATCAGGATGATCCTACATATGATGGTAGCAATATGTTAACAGATGCAGATAATGTATCACTTGTGCTGAAATAATAAACCCATAGTCAGTCAAAATGGACTATGCTAGAAAAATTTGAGATTCAGTAGTTGTAAGGTCGAGATGGCGACTAGAGGGGGGGGGGGTGAATAGTCATTTCTAAAATTTAATCGCGTTAGCTAACCGAAGCAACTACGGAATTAAAACAATCGGTCTAGCCAAGACTACACCCCTCTATCTATGTGCACCTTACAAAGATTCTAATTAAGCAACTAAGATGTCGGGCTAGCTATAGCTCACCTAATCAATTCTAGAAGCAAGGTCATACAAACCTATGCCACTAGTACTTCAAGCAAAGAGGGAGCTCCTACACATGCTAGTAAGCAAAAGCACAAAGCCACCTAAGTTCACTAGCAATGCTCAATAACAAGGCAACCAATGCTAAATTAGAGAGCGCAAATACTTAGCTACACAAACTAAGCAATGTGACTAACAAGGTTACACAAACCAAATTAGCCACTCAAGGGAGCTACTTCTATGCTACACAAGCTAGAAGGTAACTAGCAAGCTACACAAGCTAACTAATTACAGGAGCAACTACACAAGCACAATGTATATGAAAGTAATTACAAGCTTGTGTAATGAGGATGGAAACAAACGGGAATACAAGGATGACACGATGATTTTTTCCCGAGGTTCACATGCTTGCCACACGCTAGTCCCTGTTGAGACAAGCTCCAAGGTTGCCGCCGGTCCTCTTGCTAGTGGTGACCCGCAAGTCACACTCTCCCACGTGGAGTGCTTACCACAAGCTCTAGCACTTGACCCGGCCAGACCACTTGTCACCCTTCGCGTCTCGCTTTACTAGAGTTGCTCTTCACGGCTCCCGTGGGGCGAGCACAATGCCCCTCACAAAGCTCTTCTCCGGAGCACCGCACAAGCTTCTTGTAGGCTTCAACGGAGACCACCATCAAGCCATCTAGGAGGTGGCAACCTCCAAGAGTAACAAGCACCACTGGCTTGCAAGATGACCACCTAGTGCCACTCGATGCAACCTCATGATGCAATCGCACTAGAATCGCTCACTCACTCAATCGAATGAACACTATCAAGCTAGAGTCAGTTAGAGGGCTCCCAAGCACTCTCAAGCATGGACACAAAGTCCCCCGAGGTGCTCAGCACAAGCCATGGCCGAGACCACCTTCTATTTATAGACCCATGGGCTAAACTAGCTGTTACCCCTTCACTGGGCAAATTTTGGGACGACCGACGTGTCCGGTGGGGACCGGCGCGTCCGGTCGCCTATGTCCGATCGTAGCTGACCCGCCACGTGTCCCATTCAAACTAGCCATTACCCCAATGGCTCTCTCTGACATGTCGCATTGGACGCGCTGTTCGAAACGACCAGACGCTGAGTCGCAGCATCCGGTCGAGTCCAGTAAGCTCCCAGGGCCGACCGGACACGTCCGGTCACTCCGCACCGGACGCAGAAGACGCAGCGTCCGGTCACTCCAGACCAGACGCTCCTAGCTTCTGATCAACTGTTACGTTGAACACCAACACTCGCTGATTCATACCGGACGCGTTCGGTGTCCGGTCGCTTTCACTTAGTCGCTCACCATGGGTCAAATATCGGACGCGTCCAGTCACCATACCGGACGCATCCGGTCACTTCCGTTTGACAACTCAAAGTCTAGATAGAATACCGGACACGTCCGGTAGCCACACCGAACGCGTCCGGTCACTCTGTGACCAGCGCAACTAACTCATTTTCTTCACCAACTTCTTCTCCTTTGTAAATGTGCAAACACCACTAAGTGTACACCACTATGTGTATGTGTGTTAGCTTTTCACAAACATTTCCAAAGGATTAGCCACTCAACTTACCACGCCACTCGATCCTAGCGACGATGCAAAGTTAGATCACTCAAGTGGCACTAGATGACCGATATGCAAACAAGTTTGCCCCTCTTGATAGTATGGCCATCTATCCTAAACCCGGTCATAAATTTCTCTACACACCTATGATCAATGAAATGAAATGCCCTAGGTTATACCTTTGCCTTGCGCATTCCATTCAATCTTCTCCAATGTCGATGCAACACATGCACCAACACGATCAACAATGATATGATCCACTTCATATCATTACGTGATCATATTGGTTCATCAATCTTGACTTCTCTTGCTCTTCACCGTCACCTTCGTCCATCGGCGCCAAGTCTTGCTCAAGCTTTACCGCCACACGGTCCATCGCTCCAAAGCCTCCGACTTGCCCTTCACGCTTGCAACCGGTCCATCAAGCCAAGTCATGTCTTGATCTTCTCCACCTTGATCACATGACTCAATGCCATGTCTCATTTGCAATGAGATCCTTCATCATCACATGTGTGAGCTTTGCAACATCTCTAAGCCATTTTCACCTTCATGGCATATGTTGCTCATACACATGTACCTGTGGACTAATCACCTATGTATCTCACATAAACACAATTAGTCCACCTAGGTTGTCACTCAATTACCAAAACCACATAAGGACCTTTCAATCTCCCCCTTTTTGGTAATTGATGACAACTCTACAAAGATATGGAAATTAAGCTCTTTTGAATTCATGTTGCTTGCCCAAGCAATTTTACCATGTGAAAATGATTTTGGACAAGTACCACAAACCCGAGATGGTAGTATTAGCTCCCCCTACATATGTGCTAGAATGTTTGGTTTGAAGTTCGCACATATGCATAGATTGAAAATATGGGAGAGTAATTACTACCAAATGATGCTAAGATGTATAGAGTAAACCTTTGAAGTGTTATACCAATCGGAGTTGCACCTTTAAGTTCATTCTTAGCACCATGGTTAGCTAGATAACACTTGGAAATAAAAAGCACTAGATACCTCGTGAGATCAATATTAAAAGCAAGGTACTAGCATTACTTGAAAAGCATACCAAGTGTCTAGCTATCATCCTACGCATGCTAGTTTTCATTTCATCAATCAAATTCTACAACTAGCATACATCACACAAGCATGCATATTTAATTTAAGAACTTATGCAATGCAAACAAGCACATGAATATGCACATATCAAATGCAAGTTCATGAGCTTGCTCCCCCTACTTGTGTGCTTCTCTTGTCCAAGATTTTGATCCATCTCTTTTCTTCAATGTTGCACCCTCTTTGTCCATGTCCATGTCCAACCTCTACTTCTTTGTCTCAATCTCTCCCAAAGCTTTCATATCTTATCTCTCCCCCTTGTACAATCTCGATCTCAAAGCTTTCATATCTTTGTACAATCTCTCCCCCTTTATCATCAATTTCCATAAAAGGTGTGTTCATTGATGCAAAGGTATGCATTTGGGGTAGATGGTTGAGGCTTGAATCTTGCATTTTTTATGGACATCACTTGATTGTTGGAATGACACCACTTGTAGATACCACTTGTAACTTGTACCACTTGTATCTTGTGTAGGGCTTCTTGAGATACCACACATAGGATCTTTGATCTTGATATCAATTTGTGGGACACCTCCCCCTATGTGATAGCATGGGTCATCCATTTGATACACTTGATTTCTTGTAGGTGAGGGATGCATTCTTCATTTGGTGATCACTTAAAGTTGAGGATCACTTGTGGAACCATCGTCTTGCATGATTGATACCATGTGTAGATGTGATACCACTTGAAAAAAAATTCTAGTTATGGAACCACTTGTTGGATTTATCAATACAAACCATTTTTTGAACATTTGCTATCTTCAAGAGTACCACTTATAGGATATCACCTGTGAGTTGATCTAGACATCACTTGTGAATTCTTGATGAAATACTTGAGTCTAGATACCACTTGAAACAAACAAACTAGATATCCATTTGCATTGTTGTCTTGTGCTTGTACTCTTATCACTATCATGAGCTTCTATGGTTGACTTGAACTAAATTGATTTGCCTAGGCTTCTAAGTCCGGTTTGAACCAACGATAAGCTTCTTCACACCTCTTGCAAGGGTTATCTTGCCAATGTTGTACTTGTCACTTGTTGGTAATCCAAATTAAATTAAGTACTTGGGTTTACTAGCACATGAACAAATTCATATACTAACCACTAGGTCAACTAATCATTCAAGCAATAGTGGTAGGCTATGAATTTAAACATTTCATTTGTTATGCATGATCCTATGAAGTATGAACTATATGCACTAACCATATACTAGTAAGGGATTAAATGATCATGCACATTACAATGATACATTTGCTATGTTGGAGTAGAGGATAGTCACATAGATTCCAATTCATTACTCTAATAGCAATGTGAAGTCCAATTATAAGCTTGGTGAAGACCAATAGATACCATTTTGAATTACATTCTTCACCCATATAAAATGAATACCCCTTATGATCAAGTGCACTTTCTTGTTGTGGTTGGCTTGCTTCATCTTTTGATCAATGCTTGTATGAGAGCATCAATGTGAGAATACCACTTGAAATATCAGGATTAGCTCTTTTTTGGGTGTTGCTTGCTTTTCTTGATCAACCCTTTTGATTGCTTCAACTAAGCATCTCAAATGTTCCTCGGATCACCACTTCTATGTTAGCCTTCCAAGTACCATACTTGGTTTACCTACACATAGGCGACAAGCCCCTACACTAGGGAGAAGTGACATCTCTCCAAGAACCATTCTTGACACTCACTTGAAATAACTTGATTGATTGATCCAAGTGATAGACTTAACTTGATGAATAACCTTAAATCCTTCTTAAGTCCTTTTCTTTCTAATTATTTAAGTTCTTTTCTTTCTACCAAATGATTTCCAATAGTCACTGGAACTTAAACTTCATCTTCAACTTGAGTTTGATCTTGATCTTCATCTTGAGTACCCATGTGTGCAAAGTACACTCCACAATCAAATGGCCTTGTACTCTTTGCTTGTCATGCTTCTAGATCATCTCAAAATCAAACTTAGGTGTCTCAATTACTTATAAACATATTTCCAATTTG